GCCACAGGAAAATCTATTGGGTAAAACACGATCGGGCCTGTGTAAATATTCCATAACACCGCAATTGGATACCCTGGCGAGTATAAGGGAATTTAAGAGTATGCGGCATACGATACGATATTTGGAGTGTATGAAAGGTGGGTTTCAAATTTTTCTTAAAACATTTTTCAAGGACCATAACAAAGCGGGGATTTTTAAAATAATGTTTTGGGGACTTACGGGGAGAAGAGCTGAATGCTAACGGACGCTTCCACAGGCTGCGGATAGTAGGAAGCCCAATACTATTCGTTGGGTAACTGTGAATAACAAATAAACAGTCGCGGACAATCAGCGGGCTCAGGGGGAGAGTCTGCGAGTTTTCGACTGATGCTGGTGTGGCTGCCTTTGCACCCTCAGTCTCGAACTTCACAAGGCCAGATATCAATTAACCCCCTCAAGTGTTGACCGCCCAAGCTATCCCCCTGGACCTCTCTTTAGCCACTTGTCCTACTCTTGACGACGTCTACGAAAGCCTGGAGAGGCAAAACTAGAGGAAAATCATGGAAACTCAGCTCTGTGATGACTCGCCCTTGTCGGACGAGGAAGACATCATTGAAACTACGGTGATAAACACAGTAGCGACCATGGCGTCTCCTCGGAAGCAAGGAGGGTCCTCCCAGTTGCTGGCTAGGGCAGTAAACCCAGGCGAGGTTGAGGGTCTGCACTCAATCTCCACGGCCTGTAGTGATGTCGCGAGATTACTCAGGCAATTGGCTGTCGAAACGGATGCTGGCACTAATGAGAACCCCATAGTTAAGATGGATGATTCATCAGTACCAATATCTGTTAGGCAAGCCGATGCGAAGGAGATCGCTGTCAAGAAGATGTACCGGAGAGTAGTTACTGTAACCGATACATCGGACGGGACAGCGACTCCATCACGGGGAATGAGTTCCTGTTCCGGGGACATTACAAAAGGCGTGGATTTTTTCAATCACTTTTTTGATATTTTTTTCGGGGACATTATTTTTTTTTGATAATTTTTCGGGGACATTAATTTTTTTTTTTTGATAATTTTTCGGGGACATTAATTTTTTTTTGGTTAATTTTTCGGGGACGTTAAAAAATATTTTGATATTTTTTTCGTGGACATTAAACATTTTTTTGATCATTTTTTCGGGGACATTAAAGATTTTTTTGATATTTTTTCGGGGACATTAATTATTTTTTTGATAATTTTTCGGGGACGTTAACAATTTTTTTGATATTTTTTCGGGGACATTAAATTTTTTTTTTAATTTTTTCGGGGACCTTAAAGATTTTTTTGATAATTTTTTCGGGACATTAAAATTTTTTTTTTGATAATTTTTTCGGGGACATTAAATTTTTTTGATATTTTTTTCGGGGATATTACATACACAAGGCGTGGATTTTTTTGATAATTTTTTCGGAAAAATTAAATTTTTTTTTATAATTTTTTGGGAACATTAATTTTTTTTTATAATTTTTTCGGGGACATACACCAGGCGTGGATTTTAAATAATTTTATTGGGGATCTACACAAGGTTTGGATTTTTAAAATAATTTTTTGTTTTATTTTTCTTTTCCAGACGATAAACTTCTCGGCTTTGGCGATAGCCAGCTAACAATATGGGATCATCGCAGCGGTGATGTTCTAATGAATTATGATCTCGAAATCCCATTGGGTAAACATTTGGGTTCAGTCTATTTTCCTAGTCAGGACATTGAAGAGAATAATATGATTATCTTTTATCAATTTCGTGATTCGACTGCCCCCGAACTGCTAACACTGGCCTGTACAATATCCCATAGCCAGCCAACGTATCGTATTATACAACAACAACCATTACCAAATACATTTAAGCAAGTGAAAAATTCCATCAATACCGGAAAACATATTATTCTGAGCAATGCGGAAAATGATGAAATCTGGATTAGTTGTAATAATCCCCAGGCAGTGGCACTGGTGCCTCAACTTAACGGGAAGCGACGTTTCTTTAGTCGTGATCGATCACAATTAATTGAGCTTACAGCGGATATTCTCCATTTAGATACTTTGGCTAATAATGTTTTACAATTAGCTGCCAGGTTGACCGGGCAGCAGCAACTTTTTTAAGTGTATACAAAATAAGAAATCTTCTCTTTGGAAATTTTTTAAATTAATTTATTTTTTTAGGCTATAGGATTTTAAATTTACATATATAGATCAGAATTAGGAGTTTTGTAATTTTGCCAGCTAGGAGTTTAGTTTTTTTTAATTTGCATTTTAATTTTCCTCCACCCATTGTTTTATTTTGAAGTTTTGAAAATATTACTTTTTTTTCTTTAAGAGTTGTTAAACACATTTGTTTTTCTTGATTTCATTTTATTTGTATTACCTTTATACACTTCTTTTTTCGCCTATATTAAAATATTTTGTTAAATTTTTTTATTATTAAATATTTTTAGTTGCCAAGTTTTTTATGATTGAATTTTGAATTGTTTTAATATCGAATCCTAAAAAAAAAAACAAAATTGGTTATGTGCATATATATATTGTTTTAAATTTGCTTAGCTTACATGAAGAAAACCAACCACAACATCCAACCAAACTATTGTAATATAAATATATTTAGAAAAAACTTCAAGTTTTGCTTTAACCTATTATATAACGCATATGTCAAATTCTTATTTAAATACACTCAAACACACATAAAACACCCATCATATACATATGTAACTTCACAACAAAAATTTAAATCTAAAAAACAACAACAAAATCCCAACAACTTATATTACGTGTCTGAGACACTTTAATGTTTTTAATTTTTAAATATTATTTTTCATTTTTTCTCTATTTAGTATTACAACAACAACAAAACAAAAATATATAAACACAAAATTATAAAGGAAATAAAACAACTTGTAATATTTTAAATTATGAAAAATAAAATTCAAAAATGTTTCAAAAAATATATATTTTTTTAAGATAAATTGTTCAAGGCCTTACAGAGGCGTGGATTTTTTAAAGAATATTTTTTCAAGGCCTTACAGAGGCGTGGATTTTTTAAAGAATATTTTTTCAAGGCCTTACGGAGGCGTGGATTTTTTAAAGAATATTTTTTCAAGGCCTTACAGAGGCGTGGATTTTTTAAAGATTATTTTTTCAAGGCCTTACAGAGGCGTGGATTTTTTAAAGATTATTTTTTCAAGGCCTTACAGAGGCGTGGATTTTTTAAAGATTATTTTTTCAAGGCCTTACAGAGGCGTGGATTTTTTAAAGATTATTTTTTCAAGGCCTTACAGAGGCGTGGATTTTTTAAAGATTATTTTTTCAAGGCCTTACAGAGGCGTGGATTTTTTAAAGATTATTTTTTCAAGGCCTTACAGAGGCGTGGATTTTTTAAAGATTATTTTTTCAAGGCCTTACAGAGGCGTGGATTTTTTAAAGATTATTTTTTCAAGGCCTTACAGAGGCGTGGATTTTTTAAAGATTATTTTTTCAAGGCCTTACAGAGGCGTGGATTTTTTAAAGATTATTTTTTCAAGGCCTTACAGAGGCGTGGATTTTTTAAAGATTATTTTTTCAAGGCCTTACAGAGGCGTGGATTTTTTAAAGATTATTTTTTCAAGGCCTTACAGAGGCGTGGATTTTTTAAAGATTATTTTTTCAAGGCCTTACAGAGGCGTGGATTTTTTAAAGATTATTTTTTCAAGGCCTTACAGAGGCGTGGATTTTTTAAAGATTATTTTTTCAAGGCCTTACAGAGGCGTGGATTTTTTAAAGATTATTTTTTCAAAGTCTAACCAAGGCGTGGATTTATTAAAGAAGATTTTTTCCAAAGGGTCTACAGAGGCGTGGATTTTTAAAGAAGATAAGGAGCATGCACCAGGTGATTTAGTACAATATTTTTTAATGCATGCCCAATGATTGGATTTTTTAAGCAACATTTTTCCCGTGCACTATCAGACAAGTTGATGTTGGCTTCCCATCGCATTTTTAAAGTGCTATCAGCGTACAGTGTGATTTTTGAAGCCAATGGTCAATGACTATATTGGACCATAAAATGCGGCTTCAGACTACCAAATCCACCATTGATTGGATATTCACTCTGCGCCAAATCCTGGAAAAGATCCACGAAAAGCACATTGTGGACACATGACCACCCCGCGGTGCCATATAAAGCCGCATTCGATTGCATCATCCGATGAAAGGTGTTTAAATATGTTCTGCGTTTGGCATTCCATGCAATAAAAAATGGCTATGCAGGATAGTTTAAGTGGCAGAAGATCGGAAAACCCCTCCTACTATGAAAAAGCAAAGAAAAAGAAAACCAAACCTACCTAGTGTTGACGACCCCCAAAAGTCATATAAAAGCGAACCAGCTGATGGCTCACGCAGAAGGGGAAGGCCGCGAATAAGATGGAAAGATCAAGTGGAATACAACATTGCCGAATATGATATTTCAAACTGGAGAACCTGCGCAAAAGACCAACGCGCCTGGAAATCGTTTTTTAAGCTCGGTTTATGGAACGAAAGTACGTACGTATATATATTTTTGGTAATTATAAAAAATTATATAAAAAATTTTTATTTAGTTATAAGAAATCGGAATATGTAAATCATGACTTCCATTGCACTGTGTAAACAGTGCCTTGTCATTTGTTTACTTCTGTCACATACATATGTATGGCTGACGCATGACTGCTTCTGTTCAGGATGCCGAAGAGACTTTTGCTCTCTCTCTCTCTCTCTCCTAGTCTCTTGGCAATGCAATGGGGTTTGTTGTCACCTTTGTTTGTTTTTGTTTAAATTATTTTGTTTTTAGTCTGCCGCCTGAAACAAACCTCTGATAAGAAATTGGGATTTTTTTGCAAAGATCAGCAAAAAGGTATTCCAAAGATAAGGAACAGGCTAAACGAGGCAGAATTTCGACTTCAAATAAGTTTTCGATTCAATCTTGAAACAGAATTCAGTTTAAATTTAGGCTTCATCTGCAGCAGATGTTTCAGTTGGGAAAATGAAGTCCAACAGGGGTTTGCCGGTAATGTGGTTAGGAGGGTTTATTACCCTTTGTCTCACGGGGTCCATGGTAAGTTTTTTTTTGACTTTGAATCAATATGGAATTAATTTGATATTTGTTTCATTGTTGTGTTATAGCTATTTGACCTTGTCAAGGCCGATTCGACGACGCCTGACACCTGTTCGGGTGATTTTCCTGAAGTCAGGGAATTCTTCCAGCGGGAAGGTGAACTTTTGCGACAACGTCGCCGTGAAGAATTTTTGGCCGCCTGGGAATACAACACCAATGTGACCGAAGAGAATCGCTTAAATATGATAGCGGTTAGTGCCCGTAATGCTGTGGAGAATCTCAAGGCAGCCCAGTTGGTGCGACAGAAGCATTATAGGGATCTAAGTGATCCATGCCTTAAGCGGTTGGCAGAATATGCTGGTGAAATTGGTGCGGAAATTTTAAGTCCCGAAGATCTGAATGTTCTGCTGAATGCTGTTAGTAGCATGCAATCGAATTATGCCAGTACGAAGGTGTGTTCCTATAAGGATCCTAAGGATTGTAGTTTGACGCTGGAGCCCCATGTACAGGAACGGCTTTCGAAAAGTCGTGATCCTAAAGAGCTGGCTCATTACTGGAAGGAATGGTATGATAAGGCCGGAACCCCCATGCGAGATAATTTTGCCAAGTATGTGGAATTGAGCAACAAGGCAGCTAAGCTGAATAGTAAGTTGGAAATAATTTTCAATACTTATCTCCAAAACGAAAAATGATAAGAATGAACAAACAAAGGTCCAGCACAGGGTCCAATTTTTAAATGAATATTTTTCAAAGGGTGGTGTGTGGTGTGGATTTTTAAATAACAAGGCGTGGCATTTTTAAATCATATTTTCGGGGACCACAACAAGGCGTGGATTTTTTAAATCATATTTTCGGGGACCAATACAAGGAGTAGATCCCTTAAATAATTTTTTCAAGGACGAAGAAAAGAGTAGATCCCTTAAATAATTTTTTCAAGGACGAAAAAAAGAGTAGATCCCTTAAATAATTTTTCCCAGGACCAATATTTGATTGATATTATTTTTCTCTCCTTTCCAGACTTTACCTCCGCCGCTGAATATTGGATTCACATGTATGAAGATCCTGAATTTGAAAAAAATCTCGATAGTGTCTACCAGGCAATTCTGCCCCTCTACCGCGAGTTGCATGGCTATGTACGTCAACGTTTATCTCAACATTATGGCAAGGAGGTGGTTTCACCCAATGGCAATTTACCCATGCATCTATTGGGTAATATGTGGGGTCAACAATGGGATGAAATTATTGATCTACTCAAACCTTATCCGAATAAGGAATTCGTCGATGTCACCTCAGAGATGAAGAAACAAAAATATACCGTTGAGAAATTATTTGAATTGGGTGATGAATTTTTCAAGTCGCTCGGCATGAGCGCCCTCCCTCAATCATTTTGGAATTTAAGTGTCATTGAGAAACCCGCAGATCGTACCATTGTGTGTCATGCCTCAGCATGGGATTTCTTTCAGGATAGTGATGTACGCATTAAAATGTGTACCGAAGTGGATACCCACTATTTGTATGTGGTACATCATGAGCTGGGTCATATTCAATATTATTTACAATATGAAAAGCAACCAACGGTGTTTAGAGGTGCTCCCAATCCAGGGTTCCATGAGGCTGTGGGTGATGTCATTGCCCTGTCCGTGTCATCGGCTAAACATTTAAATACCATAGGACTATCTCCCGAAACGGAACTGGATGAGGAGAGCCGCATTAATGAATTGTTTAGAACGGTGGGTAAATATCGAATTTTTTGAGGTTAGAAATTCTATTTATAATGCAATTTTTTCTTTGCAGTCCCTTAAGAAAATCGTCTTCCTACCCTTTGCCTATACCATGGACAAATATCGTTATGCCGTATTCCGCAATGAAATCGATGAACACAATTGGAATTGTGCCTTTTGGCAAATGCGTTCCGAGTACACGGGTATTGAACCTCCCGTCTATCGTAATGATAGTGATTTCGATCCACCCGCCAAATATCATGTCTCGGCTGATGTAGAATATTTACGTTACTTTGCTGCCCATATTTTCCAATTCCAGTTCCATAAGGCAATGTGCACCAAGGCTGGGCAATATGTAAAGGGTGATCGGGAGAAGACTTTGGATAATTGTGATATTTATAAGAGCAAGGAGGCGGGTAGTGCATTTAGGTAAGTATTTGGGGGTAAAGTTGGAATAGGCTTCAGGTGTAATATTCTTTTTTTCTTTGCCTATTCCAGCCGCTTTTTATCTGCTGGAGCCTCACGCCACTGGACTGAGGTCCTCAAGGAATTTACCGGTGATAGTACCATGGATCCTTCGGCTTTGTTGGAGTATTTTGAACCATTGCGTGTATGGCTTAAGGAGGAAAATCGTAAACAAAATGTTCCCGTTGGATGGGGTCTTACTGATAGTAAGTAAAAGAGACAACTGAGACGTGGATTTAAAAAATATACTTTTTTTAAGCATCTACACAAGACGTAGATTTTTAAAATAATTTTTTAAGCATCTACACATGGCGTAGATTTTTTAAAAAATTTTTTTATCCATCAAAATGAGTACGTCTTCGTACCAAATTCAGAAATTGGACGAGAAAAATTATGAGACATGGGTCACTCCATGTCCATATAGTCCCATATAAGAAGTGTGCTGATCCATAGCGGGTGTTTGGAAAACGTAAATGGTCAATGTGAGAAGGATTTTAGAATGGGAATCTGATGACGAGAAGGCTTTGGCAACCATTGCGTTGAGTCTTAAGACGTCTCAACTAAATTAGAGAAGCGTAGGAAAAATTGACCCTGTACAAAAAGCTGCTAAACGTGCATTTCTCGGATTATAAGACCATGACCGATTATTTATATGATTTCACCGAAATAACAGAAAAACTGTTGGACGTTGGAATCGAAATTCAGGAGGAGCTCATAGTAATAATCCATTTGTCTAGTTTGGAAAAAAGAGTACGAAAACTTCGTCGTCGCAATCGAAACAAGTTACCGCTTTTCCGCTTTGAAAGTAAAGCTATTGGAAGAGTATGATCGAAGGAATCAAGCGAAAGGTGATGAAGCTACAGCAGGTCAAGAGGCGTTTGGGGCAATGTAGTACAGAAGAGTAAACGATGGCAAATTTTTTCACGTGTTTTAAGAAAGGGCACTATGCGAATAAATGCAAAATGAGAAATGGAGATCATAAAACCTACTCTATGGTGGCGTTGGTAAAAAAAGAGAAAAATGATTTAAAGTGGATAATTGATATTGGAACCACGTGCCATATGAGCTCACCGTAAGTTTTTCATCACATTTGATAAGTGTGAAGAAATTATTATGATGGCAGCGGAGAAATCAATTACGGCTAATGGAAAAGGAATTGTGTGTCAGTTTATGTAAATGGATTAAATATCAGATTCAAAGATGACTTGTATGCTCCGGAATTTTATATCTATATCAAAATTAATTGAAAACGGCTGCATAGTAAAATTTGATAGTAAAGGCGCAGTTGTGAAAGACGGAGGAAAAGTTGTGTTGAAAGCCATAAAACAGACCAATTTTTTTGGTTTTGAAGCCATGGAACCTAAAGGAAAATTTTGCCCAGCGACTGGTGATATTAAATTATGGCACCAGAGGTATGATCATCTCAATTACCAAACTTTGAAAGATCTATCAGAAAAAGACATGGTGAGTGGTATGAAATTGAGTGATTCGTTGGTTGTAGATCCCTGTAAGACATGCATGGCTGAAAAGATTCATGTGACACCGTTTCCTAAACATGATGAATAGAAATGTATGGAAGTATTGGACTTGATACATTCGGACGTGTGCGGACCGATTGATGTGGAATCCCTGGGTGGTTCGAAATATTTTGTCACTTTTATCGATCACAAGTCTAGACGCATTTTTATCTATTTTATGAAGCAGAAAAGTGAGGTGTTCGATAAATTCAACATTTTCAGTAGCATGGTGGATCACCAGACGGGTAATGTTATAAAAATCCTAAGAAGTGATAACGGTAGGGAATATATTAGCAAAAAATTTAATAAATATTTGGAAGAAAATGAAATCATACACCAGCCAACAGTCCCTTATACTTCCCCAATAAAATGGAGTAGCAGAATACGCAAATCGAACGATAGTGGAAATGCCAAGGTGCTTATTGATAGATTCTGGTTTGAATAAAAATTTCGGGGCATAAGCAGTGGCGACCGCAGTTTATATAAGAAATCGTTGCCCAACAAGGACAATGGATGGAATGACACCATATGAAGTATGGAGTAGTCGAAAACCCAAAGTTAACCACCTTAAAGTATTTGGATGTCAGGCAGTGGCACTGAATAAAAATAGAAAAGGCAAATTTTAAGAGAAAGGTTATAGCCTTATTTAGTGGCAAAGGCGTATAGATTGTATGACAGCATAACTCAAAAAGTTGTAGAACGACGTGATGTCATATTCGATGAAAACAAAAAGCCTGGTGGTAGATTTAATGACGAAGACAAAGAATTCGTTTACTTTGATTATGGTATAAGAAATAAGAAACCTGTTGAGAACATAAGATAGAATCTAGAAGAACATTGGACATTAATGAGAATGGCGAAAATCTACAAGAAATGCAAGGTGAGAACACAATAAATAATGAAACTGGAGACAACCCCTCAGATGAAGATAGTTTTTATGATATGGAAGAATTGCGAGGGTTTACGCCGATTGAAGAGGAGCAATGGTCAGAGGTTGATACACCTAGACGCGACCCTGGAACGACATGATGTCATATTCGATGAAAACAAAAAGCCTGGTGGTGGATTTAATGATGAAGACAAAGAATTTGTTTCCTTTGATTATGGTGAGAGCAATAAGAAACGAGTTGAGAACATAAGAGCGGATCTAGAAAAACAAATAGAAATTAATGAGAATGGCGAAAATCTATAAGCAATGGAAGGTGAGAACACAATGAATAATGAAACTGGAGACAATCCCTCCGATGAAGATAGTTTTTATGATACGGAAGAATTGCGAGGGTTTACCCCGATTGAAGAGGAGCAATCGTCAGAGGTTGATGCACATAGACGCGGCCCTGGAAGGCCACGAATTATTAGAAGCATAAGACCTGGACGTCCAAGAAGAGTGCCAAAATCGCTGAATAATGTGGTGGAGGAGAGTGTGTCGCAAAGTTATGAAGAAGCATTATCCAGCAAGTTATGTCATCTATGGAGAGAATCAATGGAGAAACAGCTGAAGTCGTTAAAAGAAAATAATATGTGGGTATTGCAAGATTTACCTATTGGTCAGAAAGTCATTAAATGTAAATGGGTATACGCATTAAAATGGAATCAGACAGGAAAAATTATTCGTCATAAGGCAAGGCTTGTTGCAAAAGGTTGCAATCTACGGTACATGGTCAACTATATAAGGAAACCTTTTTACCTGTAGTGAGGTATACCAAATTAGAGTTGGGTAGTTCCGGAACGAACTAGTTCATTGGAACTATTCCGAGAAAGGAACAATCGGAACTAGTTCCAACACTTTAATTAATATAGTTCCTTTTTCTGATCTCTTTCCTTTTTGGTATTGTTCTTTATTCTGGTCTCGTTATTTTTTCAACACGGAACTATGTGAGCGAAAAAAAACAAAAAGAACGAAGAAAGAGAGAGATTCAAAGGAACAATGTAGGAGTCGGAACTATATGGAGCAAAGGAATTATGAAATGTAAAGCAACTATAAAGAGCAAAAGAACTATATGGAGCAACGGAACTGTTTGGTGCAAAGGAACTATAAAGAGCAAAGGAACTGTATGGAGTAAAGGAACTATATGGAGCAAAGAAACTATTTGGAGCAAAGGAACTATTTGGAGCAAAGGAACTATAAAGAGCAAAGAAACTGTATGGAGTAAAGGAACTATATGGAGCAAAGGAACTATTTGGAGCAAAGGAACTATAAAGAGCAAAGGAACTGTATGGAGTAAAGGAACTATATGGAACAAAGGAACTATTTGGAGCAAAGAAACTATAAAAAACAAAGGAACTATAAAGAGCAAAGGGACTGTATGGAGAAAAGGAACCATATAGAGCAAAGGAACTATATGGAGCAAAGGAACTATACGGAGCAAAGGAACTATAAAAAGCAAAGGAACTGTATGAAGTAAAGGAACTACATGGGGCAAAGGAATTAGTTTCTTTTTAAAAAAGGAACGAGTAAGATCGATCCACTACGTGAACTAGATTGCCGAACTCTAAAGAAAATCCAAATAAAGTGCTACGGCTACAGAAATCGTTATATGGTCTAAAGCAAGCCGGTAGAGAGTGGAATTCAAAACTTAACATTGACGTGGATTGTTAAAAAAACAATATTTTTAGGCTTCTAACATAGGCGCAAATTCAAAAAAAAATTGAATTTTTTTAATGTCAAAATTAATTTCCATCTTCATTGTTATTTTATTAGCTCTTTATTTATCATTTTCAAAATTTATTAATTTTAAATTTGTGTTCCTCTTTTATTTTCAGAAGTCTCCCATTCCTGTTCAACAACTGCTCACGCCAACAGCATTTTGAATTAAGGTGAAAAGCTCTTGTTTTTTATTAAATACACAATTTTTACACTTCCGGAAAACTGGTTATAAACTGGATACTTATTTACAAGCGGAATTTACATACAGAATTATGTCAATTGGAGATTTGTTTTATTATTAATCAATACTCATTTAAAAAAAAGGAACTTGTGATTCGATCGAAATAAATATCTTTACGAAAATGTTGAATATTATACTGATAAAAAAATTAATTTTATGGGACATTTGCATAATGGAAGTGCTGAACGGGAGATTATTTGAGTTAAAAATCTTTTTTTTTCGAAACATCTTTATAATTTGAATTTAATTGTATTTTAAATTAAGTGTATCATAAATTAGCTCTTAAAAATTATTTATAGTCTTCACATTTTTTTAGAGATCTCTTCTATCTATCCCTGTTTGCAAACATGTAAACATACTGGCCATTTCAATTTTATTAATCCGCTTTAATGGCCTGTCTGCCTGTCCGCTACCAGATTTATGTTTCAATCATTCACCCACAACTTTCTCCGATGGCTAACAAAATGTCAACAACAACACACACTCTCACACACAATTTACAATCTCCTGCGGATTTAGAAAATTAATGCCAATCTGCTCTACATTTCAAATTTGTTTTGACTTTTAAAGCCCACCTTTCTTCAATCTCTTTCCAAAACAAATGATTTTTTTTTGGTTTATAGACCTTTTAATCTTCTTTTATTTTGAAATTCAAACCCGTTTGTATTTTTGTTTTTAATATTCTAACAGAAGTAATGAAAACAAAATCTATTAACACCCAAGATCAACAGGCTAGGAATAAATGAATATTCAGAAGTAATAAAAAATTTAAAACTCTTGCGATTTTTTTTTTGGTCTACCAACCTTGAACTAGATAAAGTAAAGTTTGGGTGTGTGTGGAATTTTGAATTCATTTTCAAAATCCAAAGAATCAGCAACAATTGTAAATATATTTTGCAGGCATGACTTGCAGTTCCCCAGAATACCCCCTTTTAATTCTTTCAAAATTTCAATTTTCTAGAAATATATCACACGCGAAATTATTGCGATCATAAATAATTAATTGAAAATAGAGATTTTTATTTTTTTTCCTGAAATCACTAAGATAAGAATTCGATTAAATCATAATAATAAATGGACTTCGATAGAAATGGTATAGGAAATGTGTGGTTACGAATACAGTCAGTATTTAAAATATTTATAATACCCATCTAATCTTAAGGAAATCAGGGAGGAAATTTTTCGAAAAACAAATGGATTTGGGAATGTTCTACAGCAGAGAATCGTTTTTTAATATTTGTTCAGGGGCTATCTGAGGCTTGGATTTTTTTAAAAATATTTCTAAGGGTCCACACAAGGCGTGGATTTTTTTAAAAAAAATTTAGGGTATCCCATAAGGAGAGGATTTTTTTTGGGCCAAGGATGAACCTTATTGAAAATGGAGAAAATCGGTTCAGATTTAGATATAGCTCCCATATATAGTTTCGCCCGATTTTATGTAAAAGATGCACCAAATTCCCAATATTTGTCCGATTGGGACAAAAGTTAAAATCGTTTAGTTAAAATCGTTTTGTTAAAATCGTTTCAGATTTAGATATAGATCCTATATATAGTTTCGTCCGATTTTATGTAAATGGTGTACCAAAGCGCCTATAATTTTTTCGATTAGCACGAAATTTGGTGTGTGCTCAGATTCGTGCATTTTATTAAAAATCCTAACCTGCAGAGACCTCTATTAACAATTTTATTAAACATCCTAACCTGGAGAGATCTCTATTAATAATCCTTACCTTCAGAGACTTCTTTTAACAATTTTATTAAATTCTCACCTTCAGAGAACTCTATTAACAATTTTATTAAACATTCTAGCCTGCAGAGACCTCTACAAAACATTTTATTAAAAATCTCACCTTCAGAGACCTCTACACACTTTTTTAATTATAACCTTATCTCTAAAGACTTCTACACATGTTTTATTAAAAATCTTAACCTGCAGATACCTCTACACATTTAATTAAAATCCTAACCTGCAGAGACCTCTACAAAGCATTTTTTAGAAATCCTAACCTGCAGAAACCTCAAAAAAAATATGTAAAATTCTCTGCTTCAGAAACGTCAAAATATTTTATTAAAAATCCTAACCTGCAGAAACCTCTACACATTTGTCTAATCAAAATCCTCACATACAGAAACCTCTACACATTTTTTAATTAAAATCCTA